GCACATAATACTTAGGGTCATTCCATGTGAAATCATCCAGAGAGGTCGCTCAACATTTTTAAAAAAATTCAAAATTTGTACACTTATTTCTACATATTTTCACACCTCAAAAAAAAATGTTAAGAAAATTGTGATCCGCTCGGTTCTCCCGGTACAGCCGTTTTTATAATGCGAAAAAACGCGTTTTCGGCTCAAATGGAGGTTTGCGTTATCTTCTGTATCTCGATAACTATTGAAGCTAGAGACTCCAATGAAAAGCCAATTTGTTTCTCATGGTATGCACAACAAGTCATATCATTACAAGGTTTTACTCAACCTACTTCCTCTAGGTGTAATTAAGCTTGAAACTTACCTATCGATTTTGGGAAAAATGCTAATTGACCTTCAGAAACCAATGGAAGGGGGAAAGTATCAGATCTGCAGTTTCAACCCTTTGTTTTCTCCTACATGAAGAATATAATCACATAGTTTTGAACACCGTACCCATTTTCCAGGAGCTTCCAAACTTTGCTCTGGGCCCCAAATCGGCCATTTTTAACGTCTCATATCTCCGGTGGGGAAGCCCCAAAAAAATTTGAACTCAAAGCAAATAATGCTCTATTCAGAGTAACGTGCAGTTAAAATTACAACTTTGATATTCAACTAATAGCGAAGTTTCTATAATGCGAATAAACGTGTTTTCGCCTGAAATGGAGGTTTGCGTTATCTCCCATATCTCGATAACTATTGAAGCTAGAGACTCCAATAAGAAACCAGTTTGTTTCTCGTGATATGGACTATACATCATATCCTTACAAGGTTTCACTCAACTCACTCCCTCTAGGTCTAATTAAGCTCGAAACTTACCTATCAATTTTGGGAAAAACACTATTTTTCACCTTCAAAAACCAATGGGAGGGGAAAGTATCAGATCTGTGGTTTCTACCCTTTGTTTTCTCCTACATGAAGAATATAATGACATAGTTTTGAACACCATACCTATTCTCTAAAATTTTCCAGGAGCTTCCAAACTTTGCTCTGGGCCCCAAATCAGCCATTTTTACATCTCATATCTCCGGTGCAGAAGCTCCAAAAATTTTGAAATTCATAGCAAATAGTGCACTATTCTAGAGCAACTTGAAAAATTAAAACTTTTATATTCAACTACAAACGAAGTTGTGCGCACTTTGAATTTTACCAAAACAACCAATACCTCAACAATTGGCTTACCTGCATCCAATGATATTAGTTCTTTGTGTACTCCGATGAATATTTTCCAGTTTGTTTGAAAGTACACATAGTTCAGTAAGTGTCCACTATCACGATGTCTTCGAAATCATCGGACTTGGATGTTTTATAACACATGACTGTGTTTTCCTCCAGATGGACGACCCGGTGTTTTTCTCTTGTGTGGAGCACAGTTTTGCACTTTTGGAACATGCTTTTTAGAATGATTTCAGTTCCTGCAACTTACTTTTGGCACAAAAAAGTAAACTATTCCTGGGATATTTTCTGTGCAGAATATTTACAGTTATCGCGGGCACATGACTTGATTAAAATGAGTTCTTTGAAGACTGGCTTTCGCTGCTTGCCTCTTTGTGGTGCTGCCAATGCCGTCACAGGCATTCTTCCCATGTGAGGTGGCAAAGAAGTTCCATTCTGCTTCAAGTCCGAAGTCTTCATAGTGATGACATAAATTGGAAAGATTCTTTTTGTTTTTATATTGGCTTCCAGCGCCATCACTGAAATAAATAACTTTCCTGACTGAAGGCACATTTTCTTTTATATTGGCGATAAGACATTTTTGGAACTCATAAACTGTGGTTCTATCGTGCTTTACATGATCACTGATTATACACAAGCTTCGGCATTTTCTTAGTGTCTGCCTTGTAGTAATACACAAAAGGGTGAAGTGTAGCCTGTTGATTTACCCAATGGAAACTTTGAATCTCGTCTTGAACGAGAAACGAACAATTTTCTGCAAAATCTTTAAAATTTAAAGCGCCCACAACTGCGCTATTACTTGAATATCAGAGATGTAAATTTAACTCCAAGTTACTCTAGAATAGAGCATTATTTGCTATGAATTTCAAATTTTTCGAAGCTTCTCCACCGGAGATATGAGATGTTAAATATGGCCGATTTGGGGCCCAGAGCAAAGTTTGAAAACTTCTGGAAAATTCTGAAAACTAGGTACGGGGTTCAAGCTACGTGATTATATTCCCCTTGTAGGAAACAACAAAGGGTAGAAACCACAAATCTGATATTTTCCCCCTCCCATTGGTTTTTGAAGGTCAAAAATAGCGTTTCACCCAAAATCGATAGGTAAGTTTCGAGCTTAATTACACCTAGAGGAATTGAGTTGAGTGAAACCTTTTAATGATATGATTTATAGTCCATATCACGAGGAACAAACTGGTTTCTTATTGGAGTCTCTAACTTCAATAGTTATCGAGATATGGGAGATAACGCAAACCTCCATTTGAGCCGAAAACGTGTTTTTTCGCATTATAGAAACTTCGCTATTAGTTGAATATCAAAGTTGTAATTTTAACTCATCGTTACTCTGGAATAGAGCATTATTTGCCATGAGTTTAAATTTTTTCGGAGTTTCCCCACCGGAAATATGAGACGTTAAAAATGGCCGATTTGGGGCCCAGAGTAAAGTTTGTAAGCTCGTGGGAAATTTTGGAAAATAGATACGGTATTCTAAACTATGTGATTATATTCTTCATGTAGGAGAAAACAAAGGGTTGAAACCGCAGATCTGATACTTTCTCCCTTCCATTGGTTTCTGAAGGTCAAAAATAGCGTTTTTCCCAAAATCGATAGGTAAGTTTCAAGCTTAATTACACCTAGAGGAAGTAAGTTGAGTAAAACCTTGTAATGACATGATTTGTTGTCCATATCATGAGGAACAAATTGGTTTTTCATTGGAGTCTCTAGCTTCAATAGTTATCGAGATACAGAAGATAACGCAAACCTCCATTTGAGCCGAAAACGCTTTTCTTCTCATTATAAGAACGGCTGTACCGGGAGAACGAGGGGATTACAGTTTTTTAACATTTTTTTGAGGTGTGAAAATATGAAGAAATAAGTGTACAAATTTTGAATTTTTTTAAAAGTGGTGAGCGACCTTTCTGGATGATTTCACATGGAATGACCCTTAAGTAAGATATGGGACCGTCATTTTTACATTACTGATAACTTTGTTTTATATTTGGCTCACACAGTGGTTTATGATCAATATTAGTTGCACTGGGGCACGCAGTGGCATAGTTGGTTGAGGCACTATGTTACAAGTCGGAAGCTCGTGTGTTCAATTCCTGACAAGGTCATTGGATTTTTTCAATTTACCCAATCCTTCTAGCAGGACTATGGTCTGGGGTTAACACAGTCTCTAGGAGAAATGAGTACCATGAATCTTCCTGGGGGCAAAAAGCATCTGGCACACAAGACTGACAATCTAACCGCCATCTGTGAGCCGACTGTCTGGAGAAAATGTGGGAGCCTCAACATCTCACAACCCAGTGGGCTTCTATGGCCTGTTACAGGGATAGCTTTATGTTTATTTTTATGTGTCATGACTCCATGATGAATCTTTTGACACCAATATAAATTAATGTTTTGTAATTT